CCCTCCTTGCTGGCAGCCAGGTGGGTCAATAACAGACAAGGCCCAAATTTGCATATTTAGCAAAAAATAATGGTTCTATCTTTACTGAAATGGCTTAATTTAATTCGTTATCCCTCAAAAGATGGGGATAGACACCAAAATTATTCTGATACCATGAGTAGTTACTGAGATATTGACGAAAAACAGATTTTCAGTAATGGCCGCCCTAATTTGCATATTGCCACCCAAATTTGCATATTTAGCAAAAAATAATGGTTCTATCTTTACTGAAATGGCTTGATTTAATTCGTTATCCCTCAAAAGATGGGGATAGACACCAAAATTATTCTGATACCATGAGTAGTTACTGAGATATTGACGAAAACTGGATTTTCAGTAATGGCCACCTTAATTTGCATATTGTGCGAATTGCCCAAGGATGACAGAGTGGCATCATTCAGATTCTGAAAGAGCACACCTCAGAGATATAGAAACAACAAAAAAACGTTGTATGGACCGCATTGCAAGGTTCTTCAAAAATCGGGGGTTTGGCAACCGGACTATATCCCGCCATCCGTCTGGATTAGAGGTTTTGCCAAGTCGGTTGACACCAAGACCTGCTTTAGTGGCGGCACTGTCGCATGTAATGCCTAATAAATCAATGGATTATGCAGGCTCAGCAATATTGCGGCTAATCTGTCCTTGGGCACTGGAACGGTGTCTGTCCTTGGTGCTGATAACTGTGTTGGGCGGACAAACCTTGGCACCAGTACGGCCTCGCTTGGATTTCTTAACCGTCTCATAGCATATCAATAATTCAGTTGCCTCTTGCGGAATATTGTGTTCATAAACCGTATTGGTCATCAACAGGCGAGGCGTTGAGAAATAAACCTTTTAGTACTTGAAAAAATGGATTTTTAGGACAAACGCATCTCCCGATCGTGAAATATTTCCAAAACGTGGCTTTTACAAATCGAGAGATGACAAAATTCCTTGGGGTGATCATTGTGTGTTCACCTTTTCTCACACCACCGCCGATTTAAGTAAAAACGCAGGCATTCGCGTTACAAAGCCTTGCAGGCGTGGTTTAGCAATATGTGACAATCGGAAGGTACATTTGTCCCCATCATTTTGACCGTGATAAGTAATTGCAAACTTCGATGGTGACCATTATGAGATCGTAGTTTCTCACACAGTCACAGATCTATGTAACGGCATAGCAACTCGTGTAACGAAGCTTTGAACGCAACGGCTTTCCCTGATGAGAACCAAAGCACAGTTATACACCACTTAACTAGACATGCATATGTTTGAGGAAGGAGCTCGGTCCACTTGATCCCTGATACGTCCAGTTAAGAAATGCCGTGGCCGAATTGAAAAATGCATCTAAAACGTGCTGGCAAAAGTTTTATCTAATGGAGTTGGGAATTCGTTGCCTTGCTACAATAGCAATTAGAGATTGTACGCGTGCACAGCACTGGGCCTCAGAATAGATATCGATGAAAAATATGGTACTACTCGTACGTCCTTGAGTACTACAATGCCGTCCTAACACAAATAGTACAACTACTCCTAATGTGTACTGATACCATGTTTGACATAACATACAGGGCGAAACGTACGTCTAATCTGAAGGTTATGTATATGCTTGTATAGTATGTCTACACGTGATAAATGTAAGGATGCACGAAACTGACAAACGTTAACATGACAGATATACGCCAAAAAACAGTTACTCAAGCAACTGGATATGATTATGGAATCCATATCCAGTTGCTTGAGTAACTGTTTTTTTCGTATCTTATTAGATGCCTAACGTTCACTGACGTATGACAGATATGCGTTACTCATTTTAAGGAAAATAGATTTCGCTTTCCTTCCAGCCATGCCAGCCATGTTCTATATGTAAAGAGTATCGCGGACTGCCTTTGCTACAAAAATCACCACGAGTACAACTAGTAACATTTTGTCTCTTTTTGAAACAAAATGACTGTCAATTAGTGGTACAGATGATGTTCACACAGAGACGGCAGGCCCCGAATGTTGAAAAATAATCCGTCTAACTACCTGTACAGACTGAGGTAAACTCCAGCACAGCATTACGGCGTCGTGCGATTTTGATGTCGTAGAATTTTCAAGCGGACTGTGAAAGAATCAACCGCCTTTAAGGTTCTAAGACAGCATTTTCATAACGAAACAGGTGCATTTTTCATGCATGGCACATGTAAAAATGGGATGTTACAAACATTTTCAGATCGCACCTTGTATAACAAGTGTAAATACATTATTGTATTGTCACTTCCATTCGGTTTTCAGCAGCTGCCGTCGTCCAACGGCCGTAAGACATCCAAACGAACTAATCAGTTGAACGCACAAAAATCGAAGCTAAAAGACAGGAAACACCACCACTTACCTGAATCTTGTTTGTTCCCCGATGAGTTCTACTCGGAACGAACCTTTATGCAAGATTTCCTGGTGGACAGGCGTCGGCTGGTAGCTTCTCGGAAATAGACACTGTTCAAGAGAAAACTTGAAAGTCCCGTCGCTGGTACAACACTAAGTCCCTGCCTCCGCTCGCCAATCTCCTGTCGAAGTGTACGGGATAAGGGCTTAAATACTGTATCTGAAGTTCGGACGTCAATCAACCTTCGACGCTGGAGACACTTTTGTTTGCTCGCCGCCACGGAGAGCCTCAAAGGGGCATGAGTGACGCGGCAGGAAATGAAGTTGGCAGCTGGTTCTTTTTGGTCCGACAGGAGTAAGAGGGTGGCTGGAATGATTCCATCAGGGTGATGGAAGGGGTACTTTACCCTAATGCGGAGATGTTAAGTCGCTGTGACATGAGCCCAGAGCTTCTGACTTTGTGACGCTGATAGATCATGGGATAGTCACATGATAAAAAAGGTGTAAAAGTTGAAAAGTAGTGGTGACATACATACGTGAGGCAAGAAAGGTGGGATCACATTTGTGGAAGGTCGTCGCACGATTTTGATATTGCAGTGTTTTCAAGAGGACCGTGACAGAACCAACCACCCACAAGGATCTAAGGCAGCTTAGTACGGACCGAGTCAGCTGAATTTTTCAGGACGCATTTTGTTTGAGCCTTTGTTTATTCATGAAATACTCAAATCGGCTTTCTGTTCACTTTCCATTGAGGTCACGAGAAAAGATGTGAAGGTCAGACAAAATATGACAAGATACGCGAAGCAATGAAGTTGAATCCGAGAGAATGTCTCCACCAGTTGCAGACGGGAGACACGGAGGCGGGTTTTATTTTGACATGTATCCCGAAAGAAATTAGATCATTTTCTAGTGCTTATGTGGATGTATTTGCTCCCTTTGTGAGTATCTCTTCAAATAAAGACGAATGTCGGCACTGATCTATAAAGAAACGCTAGACATCTTTTACCTCCTACATGTTACACTACATCCAGTCTCCGTCGATTGCATCTGTACTGCAAAATTACTATGTCTGCACTTTCGACAAAGAGCAGTTTATGATTGTGTGTATGTCTATAGGTTTGATATGAGTATAAAGATTTATCAGTGAAACGAGTTGAATTTCGTCTTTCCTGTCTAGCTCACAAACTGACGCCACACGCATCCGACATGAATCAGCAGCCCTGAGGCGGAAATCACACACCAGAAACACGCGGCGTGGCTTCCGGTTTAACGTCTCTGGAACATCAATGGGAAATAAAGGAGCTTGTGTCTGAGTATTATTGGCTCAGTACGTGGTTATATATTCATCTATTCACAGAAACTCCTGCCTTCCAATCGGGCAGCTGTTCTTGTTTCCATGGTTTCTGTACGCAAGCTGTTTGAGCACAAGGAAACTTCATAGACTTTAATGTTTATATAACACAATAAAAACGTACAGAAATGGTTCCTGTTCTTTCATCTATGCATGTGTGTAGTCCATCTGATTTTGTTGCCATAACGTATACGCCCACAAATCCACGACCACAGGCGACAATCATTATGTAGGATGCACTGATCATCGGGTGTTTGTAGGCGTACCTTTGTACCTAAGCCTACTCGTATTTTTCACGTATGGATGTTCTCAGGTTCAAGAATCCGGAGTAAGCGCCAAAATGGATCATGTGAATAGTATAACGCCCAACTTCGTAACTCACCACACTTGGTTTCACCTTTGAATTGTTGATAGGATAGATCAGGTGCAATGAACCGACATGTATCCTTACTAGTATCATTTTTGTAGTTAAACCCTGACTGAATTTAAAAAAAAACATTGTATGTGTTCACTACCAACATTGTATTGTTGAGCATAAACTTATATCGTCTTGACTACTGTACTGTAGCTAATGCAGTATCGTTTACCAATTTACCTGTCGATAGAATTTAAAAGCTAAGGCCCTTGTCGTATCATGAAACGTGTAATCGGCCTACAATAGCAAGTTGGAGGAATGCTTGCAGGAGTCGAGCATATATCGTACAAAATTCATCTATTACAAAAAAACTGACTGTCTTAGATTCTTGTCAGCCGTTGCTTCAATTGCCCTGGAAAATTGTATGACGTGAAACTCGTACGACATAATACGGCGAATGTATCTGCGCCATAAATGAATCATCACTCAATCTTTATGCCCCCCCCCGCCAAAAAAGAACAACTTTACTCCATCCACGGGCAAACCAGAGACGGTTGACGCGATGGAACTGGCATCTTTACTCTCCCATGTCTCTGTGCATGTGTCTATGCGGATGAAGTACGGATCAAGCCGGTAAGCAAAAGTGGCCTGTTTAAAAAGACTCCTAATGGAATCGTCCGTCAACTGACGACCGAGGGTTTGCTTTTTGTGACCAAGGTCATCCTTTTGTACCGTACAGCTATTTCCGGCCTCCCTCCGCCTATGGTCTCTGACGTCTGCGGTTTGGAAGCAGATTCTGCAGACTGACAGGTCCGATAGACAGGAGATGATTTCTACTTCCGCACAAATTGAAGCAATTTCAAGTCCTGCACGTATCATCCAACTCGTCTAAAGTAGCCATGGAATCAAAAGCTAGTAGTTTCAGAATGAGTCATGGCTCTGTTCCTATCAGATGAGAGATACTGTCAAGTCAATATTTCAACGTTTCATGCCTTGTCAAACTGTTGATAAAGCACAGAAGAAGGAAAAACATATTTTCACCGATGTTGCCAAATAAGGGCAAGTGCCAGACATTGCATGTATTCCACTGAACCTGTCTACAACTGTTTAAACATTAAATATTAACATGATACTTTTGAGTCTTCAAAACAGGGTAGTGTAGATGCACATGTACAAGATAGGACATAGTTTATACTAGAAAAGCTCTCATTGAAAGAGTTTCAGAATGCAAGGAAAATCACAAAAAGACCAGAAATCAAAAGTAAGTTAATAGAGCTGAATGAATTCTATAATGAATTAAATATTGCCGCATATCAAACAAATGATATAACAAAAACATTCCCTAACATTTCCACAGTTTCCATGTTAGCACATTTGCATAAATCTATAGGATTAAGATGTTCCCAATTCTCCTGACTTTGAAGTGTTGACCATTAAGCTTCTAAATCTAGGGGCCTGACGAGTGGGATTTGAAGGGCCTATGGCTAATGGTGGGTATGGATATCAAAGCTGCTTTAAATTTGAGCGAATCACATCTGCATTAATACATACACACATATAACTATTTCAAGATGCTTCAAGTATTAGTATAGCTATTTCAAAGTTCCTAAACTTGGTCATGACATCATCATCATGTCGAGGTGTAAGTTAACTCATGAAGAGGAGCGCCTCCCATGTCTGACTCAGTTCACTCTGAGCCTCTGTCACTAGCTAGTCCTGGCATTAGCTCATGTTACGCAATCTCTCGCAGTCAGGCGCTGATCGGGCCTCCCCGATCTGACCAGTGAAAGGGCTGTAGTAGGTAAGAAGTATGGTGGAGTACAAAGAATCGAACGGACAGAGTGAGTCAGTCAAGTATACGTAGTCCCGTGATTTTGGGGCTTTTTATACCTTTTTGATGTCAAAACTACGCACACGTGACAGTTTAAGTAAGGGAGAGTGCGATTCGTGGCGATTCTCGGCATCCTGGCGCAAGAAGAAATGTATATGCCGTGACCCTTCCAGAAGTGTATGGGTATATAGGTCATCCATCCGCCACATACAGGCGTCAGTCTGCATCACTCCTGCTGATGACTAGGTGTGAACGGACGTGCTATCAGCTGCATTGCGTCATCCCACCTAGCTTCTGCGTCACGTGTGCAAAAACGCATAGAAATGTTTAAACTAACTTTAGATCGAATCGAGTACTGATGCTTCTATTCCTCAATACCATTTCTCTATCACACAAAAAATAGATAGTTATTACAAGTTGAATGTTATTCAGTACCTCCTAATATTAGTTTTTTGTTCATTTCGTGACGAACAATATTTTTGACACGCCCTGGCAAGTCCCGATGTTGTGCCCCCGGGAGTAGGGCCGGCCGGGGTTCCTCCTCGTGTGAGAGGATCAAACCTTGCCGTACGGGGGAGACAACTAGCAGAGGTGAGCAATCACCTGCTCCCCCTAGCCTCCTTCACAGACTTCTGATGCGGCGGCGTTGATTTTTTTTCGGGGAGAGACGGTTTCCGCGCATCAAGAGAGCAAGCAGACTTCTTGATGCGCGGAAACCGTTTCTCCCGGCAAAGTCCCTCGGCGGCAAAACCGTCGCTCCCCGAAAATATTAACGCCGCCGCATCAGAAGTCTGCGAAGGAGGCTAGCTCCCCCCCTCCATTTATGTAAGCCAAATAAAGAAATATCCAGAAATGTCTGTAAAGAAAAGAACACTCGATGCTATTCTCTGCAACAGGAAAATTATTCTTTGTGTGTACGTACGTATGTATACATGTGAACCTCGCTGTTTGATATCACTTTATTCTCACCACAATGATAATGATGATTGAATGTCGTCCTCCTTTGTCTCCACAACACGAAATGTAATATGTTTTGTTCTGTACATACTGGGTCCTTTTATCAGTTGAAGAGACAGCCAGTTATGATAAAATGATTAGATTAATAAATCTATATTCCAAAAGGCTGTTCATTACGCAACTATCTCTTTTGAAATATATGTATGTTTTCATATCTCATTCCTTATATAAAATAATAGAGTCTTTCCCTGTTCTAGTTTAAGGAAATAAATAAGTTAGATTTGTACATCGTTGGTACTAAGAATATTTCAATATCGTATATCTACATCCAAATACAGTCAACTTAGAAAAAAGAAAGTATAACATCTGGATCGTAAGCAATTAAAATGAGACAGTTCGCTGAAATGATGAAACCAAATTTGGAAGTTGTTCACAAAAGACCATGATGTGAAAGGCCCTCGGTGTAGGGCTCTCTCATAACATACGTCATGTCAATTTTAGTAACATAATTAGTAAAATCTATGGGAAAAAAATGGAACGACGAATTTTTTGTATTGTATGGTGGTCATGTGCAAGAGATTTGTGTTAGCATACGTCGATGAAGGTTATACATCCAAGTAGAACATACGTAATACAAAATGAGTCAAACAACAGCATAAATTCTTTCAATAGTCAGACGTCGTTCCAGATAGCCTCCGCTATCTTTCATCAGTGACAGTGACTGAGAATTTGTGTCAGCATGTAAGCAGAACTAACCTGTATGGATCATCGTGTTATCACTGCATCTAAGATAAATGGTGAACAATGATCATCTATATAATTTCAGTGGTTACTGTAGCGCATTACGAGATATGAGCTGAAGTCGAACGGTAAGCAAATGGTGTTGACAATATGGTCCCTATTGTATCCAGAACCGTGCCTATTTAGTTCTATGGTCTATATCTGGTCAGACTGCTCCAGAACTTCAGCCATCCTTGGTTGGTTTGGCTGGTGGTTGGGGGAAGGTTCTGAATGTATGACAGGGGCTTTAGGATCAGGCACGGTTCTAGCTGGATAGTCTCCGGGTATCCAAGAGCGTAAACTTGTCCCAGAAACAATTCTGGATACGAGTGGACTATCCAGAACAGTGCCTGAGCATGGTTCTGCATGCAGCGCGGTTTTGGATACAACAGTGTCCCTGCCTGTCGGACACTTGAGCGCGCTAGTCGCACTCGGGGGCCAGGAAACAGGCGCGGTCGGCGGCACGGCAACAGATTCCGGGCGCGACGCACTTCCCGTCCGTCCGGCAGGTGGCGCTGTGCTGCCAGCTGGCGCATAGGGCGTGGTCGGAAGGACTGGAGCAGACGTCTTTCCGTATCACACAGCCGGAGCCGGGGCGGCAGCACACACCTCTCAGCACGCACACGCCACTGCCGTCTGATCCACAGGGGGTGCACTAGTGGAGAACAACGATCTCATCTTAACGCACGGGCTCAACTGTGCTCCATACATTCATTACACGACCCTTGGGAACCTGAACTGCTGAAGTCACATTTCCAAACCAGGGCCCGGCCGGGCAGTTCGCGGGAACTAAATGTATGATATACAGACAACGAAACGCACAAAATGTATAAAAGATGATAAGCATGGATTTTGCGTATGACAACATTTTTCGTTCATTCCGGTCCGGCCAGGCCCCGGCTTAGAATTGTGACTCCAGCTAGCATATATAAATAAATAGAAAATTAAGATTATGGTACATGAAAAGGTTACAATCTTCCCCATCAACCCCTGCTTGCGAGTAGTCATGATAGCACTGACGTCCCGGCTTGCAATTTCAACGAAATACGCCAGGAGGAACAGATACTCAGTCGCATGGAATAATTTTCAAGTGGCAATGACAACCACAAACTGGCTTTTGAAAATATATCGCTAGGTGTCATCGTAGGAAAGACGTCCTATGTCAATACATATAGTGAGTCTTCGGGAAACTCTACGTCAAGTTGCCAATACAGTAACTTTCTTTTATTAAGAAAAAATATTACCTGAAGAAACCGATCACCTGTTTCTGAATTTGAGTTCCCTTCATTTCCCCGAAGAGCCGCGTTACGGCATCACATCTTTTCATCGATTTTTACCAACAAGATGTAAGATGATGTATTGATTGAAAAATCGTGAAGTTTGCTGAAACCCACGGGCTAGCTCCTTGCTCTCCTCCTTTGCATGTAATCTGACCTCATTCATCACACATTCGTCAACTTCCCACCAAAAAGACATGTAGCACGAAGGCACTGTCAGATAGAGGGTTTTTGCGCGCGTGCACCTTACGGCGTGACATGCTGTAAGATGTAATTAAGGCAGCAGAACACAGCATTTATCTGTGACGTGGGTGCACAAAGTAGTACGGACAAAATTCATGAAGCCTCGAGCGAAACTATCTGCTACCTTCACCTGGTACCTGGAGCCGGGTTGATGAAGAGTCTAGACAGAGTGTCTCTCAAAAGCACCCCAGAGTAGCAAACCTTTTGTTGGCATTGTTTAAAATTTGTCAACTGAAAGTGTTATTCCGAAAGAAAAATAGGGTAATTAGCCTTCAACTCGGTTGCTCCCCCCCCCTCAAAGAAAGCCCCGGTAGTAAAGCCTAGTATTGAAGATCACATGTAGCTTGATTTAGCTTGTTTAGACTTATTTCTTTCATAATGGATCAGATAAAGCAGATCCATCTCCCGGCCAATGTCTTCAGAAGTATTAAGGTGATGTTGAAATTAGATATGGAACGGTCCTGAATGAATCTGTGAATATACATGTAAGTTACAGCAATATGCTAACTATTCTACTCATAATTTTGCCAAACGGAAAATGTTCATAAGTTGCCACAAACCTGTTCGTCGCCTTTTTCCTGAACGTCCTCCCAAGGGTCACGTGATAGTGTCGGACTGCTCACATCACTTCCCGTTTGACGAAGTGCTTCCGGTTCATCGTCCAGTGACGCGTCTGCGACAATGCGGAAGTGGGTTCGTTTTCCGACTCCGTTGCGGAACGAGCGCTTGTCTGAGGCCGATTTTGTTCCCTCGATGTCGTCGTGGCCGCCATTTTGAGAGAACACGGTGGCTTCAGCCTTCAACTCGGTTGCTCCTTGGTGCCGTGGAATGGTTTCGACTAGCCGTGCCTCTTCGCCGTCCTTTCTTTTCCCCACACCGTTCCTGAAGCTCCTCTTGTCTCCGGTTTCCAGGGCCGGGGAAGCAGGTGAGCCGATCGCCCCCTCCAGGTGGAGAAACTGCCGCAGGACGGCTGCCGAGCGGCCGGGAGACAGCCTCCTCTGTTGGAGGGAAAGTACCGATCAGTTACGTCACCACTCAACACACACAAAACATCAGGCTGTGAACACATGTTCTACTACTAGTGCGCGTTGGAGTAATCTAGGTCATTACACAAGATAGCATGTCATCATCTTATCTATCCCTCAATCTAATTATTTGACCGGTGGGCACCATAGACCACCAGTGGCACTGGTGACAACCCGTTCTCTCCACCCTTCTTGGTTATCTATTCGTTTCACTTACAAAAATGTAGAGTCGTGCTGGCCCATTTTCTGATAGCATCCTTCTAACGTTTCCGTGGCTACCACTCTTCCTTCTTCCCTGGACTGTTCCTTACAGTGACATGTGACCATACCATGAATTATGATATCCATTATCAACCATTAAATGGACATTTGGATATTTCACATTCAACGAAAGTTCAAATTTGGAAGAGTAACCAAAGAGTAACCAATTTTCAACGTCTCTTGAGTCACTACTTCTTATGGCATGATTCTTTTATTTCCACCGGGATGACGTCTTCCGTACTACTGTCTGATTGAAACATGACGCTTATCCGGGCGATCAGCTTCCTGCTTGTCAGTAGCGCAGTTCTTAAGTACAACCATGCCTGTAGGGCATCTACAAATAGGACCATTACATACTGAGAGCCGAACGGTCTTTATCTGGATTATGATGAGAGGGAAGATAAGGTATCGATTGTAGTCATTCAGTCATAAAACGGCTTGCCGCCATTCTTTTAAAGCCATACAAACATGATATTATAGTTGACATCCGTGCGAACATTGATCTCAACATCCTCCAAATAAGGGCCCGGTCGCATGGGTCGTGTGACCGTGGTACGGTCGCAAACTGATGGCACTCTTTGGATAGTCGTGCAGATGTAGTAGCCAACCCAGCTGTCTCGTTACGGCAAAAATAAGCTGTCTTAGGTTCTTGTCCGCGGTTGGTTCTACCACAGCATTAGAACATTCTACGTCATACGACCTACGATGAATGACACCGCGCCATAAATGACGCTTGTTTTCAATTATAAGCAAATAAACAAGAATACTAACCAGGTATATGTCTTTGTGATTTTGAGAATTTGCTACTGAGTGTGCTGGCAAGGAGACGACTGCTGCTGCTGCTGCCTCGACAGTAAAATCCTTTGCTTGTTTCTTATCGTTTGAAATAGATTATATGACGCTATTCTTTTCTATACAATTTATACATCATTTACATAATATGTGATTAGTTGTTTTACAATCTGGGGCACTTTCTGTTCAAAACGGACACTGGTAGCTGGGTCTATAGGAGCATATACTCTTAGTCCTCAGCTATGAAAACACTTCTTTTGTACTATTGAGAAATGGAGCGGCGTGGTTTTAAATCGTATCCCATATATATCTCATCATGCTGAAATCTTTTACGTCAATACTGCTGCCATGAAATCCCACTTACTCTCTCAATAACTGATGGAAATCAAAGTCAGGTCTTTAAAACAGCGGTCATGGCGAAGTCTTTGAGAGACGTACGCTTCCGACATCTGCCCCAAGCACTGCTGCAAGTCGACTTTTATCTTAAGGCATTCTGTCAACTTTGAGGAAGAAACTTTATGAATGGTTTGTATCAATCAAAGACCGTGAGGACCTGAACTCGGGTGTGCTGTATCCTGACGGAAGGTTAACAGTAACTACAAGATTATCCACAAGTACACGGTTATATTTAGACATAACTACGTTAAGGCAGCAAAGAAAGTACATATATGTCACCAGTGAAAAATGCTCGCACAACCCACACATCCCTTATTAAGGAGCAGAAAGGAATCCGCCATGGAGTTTTTCTCCCATAAGACACCTACGGAAGCAGGTTGAAAAGATTTAAGATTCGGATGTAGAGAAACAAGATACCATCCGGAGTCTGTTGCGGGAAAGAAATTCCTTGGATATGAACATTTACAACCACATGAAGAGATAACATCCCAGGAGATAAACATCAGTACGGAGACTTCTTGTCAAGGAATACATTGAAACCTGCGTTTGTTGACAAGCTACTGGGGCCCATTTATCAACCTTCAGTCAAGCATTTTGGTGGAGATGTCGCTGAAACGGAGGGCGTTGAGGAACTTAGCAAGACAGATATAGTTTGGTGATAACACTGCGAATGTGAGGGAAAACCATTCATGTCCTAAGGACTACGGAATAATAAAAACAGTGATTTATCCCCACATTTAGGGGTGTCGCGTTTGTTCATACACTCGTACATGTTGTACCTGTAATTCTGTTCCATGTGTGATAGCCACATGGGATCTGTTTGTCGTTATATACGGCTCTTGTAGACACCATGTTGGTAGTCTTCTAGTTGCGATTTATAGTGGCTTAGTCCTTAGTATTGTAGAAAATCATTTAGTAGTTTAGAAAATGGGTTGTGGGAAAATTGAGTCACTCCTTTCAAAACCCAAAGCACCACAGACAACGAGGAAACGACCCATTTATTTGCCATCGAGTTATGTATACATTGTAATGATCAAGTGTATTGCAAATCCGTGAGACAAACACTACTTTGTTGGTCTGTAGTCAGGGCGTATGTCTACAATGAGTTGACTATTCAAATTTCTACAATTTATCCCAATTTCTCTAAACTTACAGACCAAGAAAAAACTATTCTTCTTGTAACTTCCCAAAACCCACAAATTGTGGAAAAGGTGGGACATTACGTATTCCATGGTTTACAGAACAGAAATTCACCAATGTGCAATAAACCTTTCTAAACTCTTGTGGGGTTAACGTTTGAACTGTAAACTTACAGGTGGACCAAGATGACACATACAAACAGACTTACGTTTCCGTTTTGTGGAATGTTCTTCGTTTCCAACTGTTGCCCGCAAACGGCGCCGAGCAGGACAACAGAGCACAGCAGGATCGGGGTCCACATCGTGTCGCCTTCTGCACGGACGCAACAGGACAACAAGGTTATCAGAGGATGTGAACAGCTACAGTACAGAAGAATACTGCAGTTCTTTCAATTCTTTATTCATATATCAAAATTGCGGACACACAGAAATATATGGAGGTTTGAAAGGCGTTGATATTAACAACCATAACAAAATCTAATCACATATGTAAGTATGTTATTCACCACTGACAAGACAGGACCCAAATTGCCGGGCAATTAATGCATATTGGATTATTTTGTCTGATTATACACTTTGATTTACTAATGGAGAAACGAGTTTTGAAGTCTTTTTTTGCTCTTGCTGGGGGGTCGAATATATTGTTGTCATTTCTCTTTGTTGTCATTTATCTTCATTCAAGCATCTTAGTTGCAGGCGTCTAGAGTTTTCCATACGTCGTTACGTTACTGTGCACGCTGTTGGAATAGCTTGAAGTGTTTGCCTTAGCGTCTTATCATAAATTGCTTCAAGTTGGAATCACAAATTGTTCTCCTCTCCCAAGCACCAGTGGACGTAATCCTTCATGGAGAAACAGGATGTTTAGAGACGCCGCCAGGTACACGATATGCACATATTAATGACACCAATCCCCCACCTTTAGGTAATATCGACAGATTCAGATATTATCATGGAGGCATCGATCTACAGCAGGGCACGGAAGGATACAAACTTTTATATGTGCCTGCCGACATGGCCCTTACCCCAGCGGGCGGTTCAGAAAAAGGTGTTGACTTTGAGCTACATGTATGTGTTTGATATATGGTCTGGTTCTTCTGGCCGGACAGCCCTGACCCCCTGCCCGCCGACATCGGCGACAACCCTGTTGCTCCTAGCGACATGGCGATGGTTATCAACCCGCTAAGGGACAGTTTACATGGCGGATATCCTATCACAGGTTGTATTAGATCGATACAAGTGGCTTTATGTGTGCTAACGACGGGGCCAAATGTTTGACATCGTGCGTGCAATTGAGCGGTGAATCTATAAAACAGACGATTCTGGGGAATAGAAGCTGCTGTCGCATTCTCTGCCGATACAAAAAAGTGCCGTGGAGCATTGTTTAGGGAGAACTCAGCTTTGCCCGTTATTTCCCCTGTCCTTTCCGTGGCAAGCCAGTCATTAGGTCGTTTGCGTCAGTCGATAAACAAAAAGCCTCCCGGTAGAAAACACTGACATGACAGATAACGGTAACCCACCGACCGACTGCAATGTCGCAGCATCATGGATAAGCGACGTTTTCCTTCTTCTTTTCGAATGTTTTGAAGTGTTAGTGTTATTTGGAAAGTTTGCTTTGCAAGAACACATGTTTGGACATTTTGCTCGTCCATGCCAGTATTTTCAGAGCCGCAATGTCAAGAATTAAAGGAGTCATTTTTTTCACGCAGACCGTGGAATAAGGTCACTCAACAAATCACAAACAAGCAAGCTGATATGGACAGCTACTACAACCAGTCATACATCCAATATATCTGCACAGACTCAGATAGGAAATGTTTATACATGTTTCACACTGACCGGGAGTCCAGAATCAACACCGGTACCAACCTGCGACACTTACAACTATTAGTGCTATAAACCGACAGATATCAGTCTGAACTAGCCACGGAAAACAAGTTTTACTCACGTTTTCGGCACGTAGACAAGATGCTTTTTGCAAGTAGCAAGTAGCAATATCCAGCTCTCCGGGTTTTACTGTCAAACGCCAAACCAAGCGGGTCGTTTTATACCTGACTTTCCTCGCCTGTGTGACTTGTGACGTCAGCACGGAGGCCGCCCCTAAGAATTCATAATACATAAGACACGAAGATCTTAATCCTCTCTGATGCAGACAAGACGGCCCGGGGTGGTGCAGAGGTTTTGCCGGCTACGGTTACCCTTTACAATAAATCGACGGGTAAAGAGATTGACTTTGCTCTTTGACGAGTTGTGAAAGGTGAGTTGCTGTGATTGGTGGGTATCGTTGATACAGATGTTGTGTGGTGTTTCACAGAAAGCCAAACATGGGCGTGTGCATGGGAGGACGCGTCCATCTCATCATACCGGATCGAGTACCAGGAAGAGGAAATCACTTAAGAGTCCGAGGGTGACGGTGAGGCTCACTGGCACCTAGCGATGCCCAAATGTTTGGTGTTGCAGTGACACTGTTGGTGGCGAAATTTGCGACAGCAGTAATCTTTCACATAATAGTGTTGTTTACTGTTTATTGATTTTACCAGTGGAAACACATTGCCCACTTGTGTTTTTCAATGTGCCCTGGGGGAAACCATGGACATAAGCTATCGACATCAAATAAAGTCAACGATACAAGAAATAACAAAAAAAATCACACAAATTACAAGTCGGTACAAAACCACAGTGACCTATAGATGCTTAAAACTAAACATAACATAAAGTCATGTTACAAAAAATAATGATGTAACATACGAAACGCCACGTATGATATCATAAATATCCTCTCTCAACTTTGAAGTTTTCAAGATTTCTATCAAGGCTATAGTCAGATAGATCCTCAGTCCTTTTCTTTGATTTTTCCCGTGTGTTCTTAGAAAGGTGTGTTTTGATGATGCACTAATCGTGCTTCCTAAGAAACACCTCTTCGTGCGCATCTCGAGTTTCCAGAAGGAGATGTAGGCGTTATGACAAGGACAGGCGGTGTCCAAGGTCCTGTTCCACCCGTGTTGTGTTACTAACGTACACTGTGACACGTACTCACAGAGCCAACACGTCAGCATAGTGGTGTGGCAGGCACAGAACCTACTATCGAAGCTGATAAGGTAGGCATTAGAATCTTCTGTCGTCGGTGCGAAGACCGTGTGATCGGGCAGGTCATCCAGAATCAATAAGTGGTCCAGTGGTCCATCTAGGATGTAACGGTCAAAAGAAACATAATCATAACTGACTTATTCAGCCATTTGCATACCCGGCCCCTTTACTTGTAAGCGCATGATTTAATCTTCGATACAGCTATCTGACCAGGTTAGCCCCTGTTCCCGGCGCACAGGACCACAGGCGTCATCCATTAGGACCTGGTCACATTCGTCACATTCGAGGTCTCGATTTTGATGTCGTGGGATTTTTTTAGCAGGCTGTGACAAGAACCAACCACCGGCAACGTTCCTAGCTTTCTTTCTATGTATCAAGGCAGGTGGATTTTGTAGAACACATGCACAGCTACACCAAGAACAGTCTCAGTTTGCGACCGTAGGACGAATGTGGCCAGGCCTTCAGGGGTTTCCCCTCCTGATCGAAAAGGACTTAAAACAACGATATCCCTCAGGCCCGGCCGTCCCATGGGACTTGTGGTACTGATTTTTTGCTATGCCATTTGACTAAAAATGATCTGGTAAGTTTATCTCACGCCAAGTATCACATTTATCAGTGAAACCGTTACACGTGTTTAAACGCAGTGTCCATTAAACCATCAGTGTTTTTATTGCCTCACATCAAATACGGCCTCGCTGTCTCTCATGTGTGATGGAGTGATAACTTTGTAATTTCACGGATCTCAGCAATACATATTTTACCAATAAAGGATTTATCAGTATCACAAGAAAAATCTTTCGGGCCGTTTTATTATCTATGGGTCCGGTCACTACGTCTTCCAATCGCATACTGAGGGCATTCTTGGAAGAAGAATTAATTGTTGAGATTGAAATGTGGGGAAGTACTTCTATGAGTCCTTGTTTTAGTGTATTTAACAATAGCCTTTAGTGGCCAAACTTGATGGCGGTATCTATATATCTGCCTTCTAACACAAGCTGGAAGGGTTGTTGATAAATGATACCGTCTGCTACACAAAGGTCAAATTTGTCACAAAATGAATGACAGTGCGTGTTCATGCGTCATTGCGGGAACATGACTGTTCGTCTTCAGTCTGTAGTCAAAATTTAGACGAATTAGTCAGAAAAACGCCGCCTACGCGTTATCGCTCATTGCCTATGCCTAAAACTTTGAGCCAAGTTTGCTAACTTTAAAGGCATCCAATGAAATGAGAGGCAGCACAAAAACATGTGAGTCGTGTGGCGCAACAGTAGTGTTCGCCATAGACCCAAGAGGTCCCCGATTCGAATCCTGCCCGAAGCCACCGATCTTGTGCCCTTGGGAAAGGCACTTTACATGACTTTTCTCACTTCACTCAGGTGTAAATGAGTACCTAGCTTCGTTAAGGGACGTCCCTCGGACAGGACGTTAAATGGAGGTCCCGTGTTTGGGACAGCCACACCCAACGCACGTTTAAGAACCCACCACACTTATCGAAAAGAGTAGTGGTTCTTCCCGGTTCAAACCTTACAGTCTGGTCTCAGGTTTGACATCTTTGAAGAGGTAATTAATAACAGTCACCTGTTATGTCAATCCTTCCACAAATGTGGCAAATCTTCATAAAAAAATAAATTGAGATATTCTAGATGCGGAAATCTGACTGATATTGACATGTTTTAAAGATTTTTGAATAGACACTGCTGCAGTTCCAGAACAAGCGTACACAAACTTCTTCTAATGTCACGTCTTTCCGGGACCAAGATCTATGTACCTAAAACAATCGTTAAGTTCCGCTGCAGTTCCGTAACAACTTCCGTAACAAGTCTCTGAGAATGGGGGCAAGATCTAATAATTTCGAGGTCTTATCATTTGTTTACATACCAATTTTCATTACGATCCATCTATGGCTCGAGTTATACTGCTCACTTGAGCAAGTTATCTCTGTTGGGCCGTAGTTGGGCCGTGTTTCTAAAATCACCGTTCTTATACAGATCATATATAGGCAAATTTCACCACAACGCACAAAATGCTTTCCGGTTTCTCCTAGCCTAGTCAATGCCGAACCCCTTCCTTTGATCAGGTTTGATGATGAAGGCCAGAGTCTACCTCTGGCGTCGCGCTTTACTCGGGTTTACAGGCCCTCCGTCCGCTAGCTGATGATCACTAAGCGACCATGTTTGGATTAGTGTGACCCTTGGTTTATAATTAGAAACATCACGTACGTTTCCTCTGCTGGTTCTTACCAGAGAACATGGTTCTACTTCTACACAAACGCGGCGCTATTGAATTTTTTAGTTGATGTTCGTGCTGGTTATTACGTTACCTTTAACAGACTTCGAAGAAGAAGCCAAACCTCATAAGAGCCTTAAAGTTGATCGGGCAGTAGTTGTACATGTACGTTCTTTATTGATTTATATTCTTTTACACTGTACATACAATTAGCTTTAGTTACCATGGGGCCACACAAATCCAAATTTGCTAATTGGTTGCTGAACGATCCCCTTCTAGTGGAGAGGGGGCCTTAGGGGTGTTAGAATATTTCATTTCAGCACATCAGTAAGTAATTGTGACAGTTCGCGCCACAGGTCCATATCTCAAAACAAATCTTCCTGAAGTTCATACTGTACGTGGCGATGCTAAGGCCACATCCTGTGCGTTGGAGGCTGTAGATTAGGAAAAATAATCCTGGCAACACGTTCACCGATTTCGTACCGTCTTTACTAGGTTTACTGGGATCCCCTTACTTGGCGAATACTTAACGTGTTTTACAGCGAATCGCTACAACATAGGTCGAACCGAAGCTTCGTGACAAAACCATACAAGGCTAGTAGCTAACTATCATTCCAAGAAGCTTTTAGCAAGGATTGACTAACTGTGATAACGTTGAAGATATAGCCCCATGGTAATAGTCAATGGCTGGTGACGTGGACGAAATTTCTTAGCTTGATTGAAATGCACAAAAAAGGCAGGGAAACAGGAATCAGTGAGAGATATAGATATGAAGGATGAAACCAGCCCTCTTAATGAAGGGATTATACTGAGAATGCATACTTGTGATTCTGATCACCAAAAGAGGCAGTTGGCGCTGAATAGGGATTGAAATATTCCAAAGCAAATGAAAACACTTTCAAAACGTATTTGATGTCAAAATTCAGATAATGTTCGCCACCAAAACTTCTCGAAAAGCGATGCTCACGCCGGACTTACTGAAGATTTGATCTTAGCACAGAATCGCCAGTTTTGCCCGAGGCTATGCACAGAAGGTTAAATCTGTGAGCATGATATTTTTTTTTCTTTTTCTTAGTTATATAATGTTAAATGGGAGCTTTCAGGCATACGTCTAAAGTAACCTATCAAAGAGATGGTAGAAGAAATGCTGAGCGTTTGAATTCCCTATGATATGGATGTAAAACATTTTCGCCATGCTAATATACATCCTTCTTAACATTTCCCTTGACTAGTGTAGATTATGAAAGACAGTTCAAATAAAAATGACTATTACATGCTTTGTTTGTTGTGGGCGATCACGATACCAGATCTTTTGCGATCCTCTAAGCTAAATAGATCTAGAATTTAAGACTCTGCCCGTGTGAACAAAGGTCTATTTCTCAGAATTGTTCTACGTGCCGATCACACAACACAGTTATTACTAATAGGTTTATAGTACGAACTAGAATTCTAAAAATGAACAGGTGTGTCACCAGAAATAATGCCACAAATACATCTAGTAGTGAGTAGGCCATTTGCGTCGATGCATGGGCAAATCCGTTGATCCTCTCGTTCACTATTAATGCATCAAAAAGAGATTTGGTGGGTGGTTTGGATTCTGATCAGTATACATTGAACATTCGTGAACGCAGGTTACACCGAAGGGCACAAAATACGTACGCATATCTTAAGACCAGAGAGCTGTATTTATGGTGATCAAATCGTTTAAACAGTCTGGCTTAACTCCTGATTTGTGTGCGTTTGCATTAAATAATGTGTGATATTTCATCAAGCCACACGTATCAACAAGCCAATGGTCGCAGCTGTTATTTTCTGGGTGGAATTAGAAGTGAAACATGGCCTTTAGCTATGCTAAACAGAACGACACTTCTGAACGTAGGACCATAAAACCTCGCCCACACAAGCTTACGGTCGTAAGGCTAATAAAAGGTGTTTCTGAAACAAGGTGATTAACTTATTTACCCTCAAATGAACCCTGGTAACACAACATTTCTTTATATATAAGCATCGCTCTGTATCGGTTGTGTTTACGCGTGTGCCCGTGTGTGTGTGTGTGTGCGTGTGTGTGTGTGTGTGTTATAAGATCTTTTGCTCAAAACATACAAAACACAGGTTGAAATAACAGATACAAAATGCGTAACGAACATGGAAGTGACTGGCCGACCAATAAAAATAAAATGAATATGATGGATTAAATCTTCCAGACTGAGAGATGAAATTGAAAACAGTGTCGAATATACAGCATAGTAGAGTATGGGAGGAGGGGCTACCGGTAAGGGGTAAAGTGCATAATGTGGTGTCGGTTGTGTTGAGTGGGTCAAAGGGGAGTATGTTTTCGAGATGAAAGCAGGATATGGATCGCAACATTTTAGTCTTTTCAGTGCTGTAAAGCTGTAAAATTTGCAATGCAACAAATAGTGTTCTATGTGTATGGGCCTGTGCGTATGCGTTCGTGTGTATGTGACTGCGTGCGTGTGTGAGTGCGTGTGTGCCCCCCCCCTGTGTGTGTGTGTGTGTGTGTGTGTGTGTGTGTGTGTGTGCGTGTATGTGTGTTCGTGTGTGTGTGTGTGTGTGTATGCGTGCGTGCGTGCGTGTGTGTGTGCGTGTGTTTATGTGTGTGTGCGTTGATGGCGTTCAGCACCAGGGACAGGTCTGCTTCAAGTTACAGAGCGAATTTTCTCGGAAATCGATAGCCGTTTGCATTTTCCTTGTTCAATGATTTCACTTAAGCTTGATACTAAGCACGTTCATCCCAGAGGATTTATCCAGAAAGTGATCTTTCGTAGAAAGGTCAGTCCTGTAAACATGATATGTTTCGTTTGATCCGGCGATAAGCCCTCTTTGTAAATACCGTCCTTCAACCTAATCCGCACAACTTCGCTTTTTCACGACATCCGATACCAACGGTATACTGGTGCTTTAACCCCACATCTTACCAGATCTCCTTCCAAACGCGCATTTCCTATGCCCACCAGAAGGATTTTCTTGCAAATCTCCCCCTTCGAAGACAAAATAAGTTGTACTCGTACACTTGTAACTAAGACGGGCATATAAAACACAAACTTGCACATGCTGTCTTTATGTTTGTTTCTGTTTTATTGCAGAGTCAATGCGGATTAAAACTAAGACTATCAAACACCACAGAAAAAAGGTTCATTCTGCTAAACCTTACTCCAACATAAACTTGGGATCTAGAGCATATTCGCAGTTGCCATGCCCAAAGCCTTTCCCAAACCCTCTCTTGGAGAGCATGAGTCCAAAAGTACTCGAAGAATCTTTAATTCCCGAAGAGGAATAATAAAAGTCGGCATATTTTATACCTTAATCCAGCCCCAAGATTTGAACTAAACCGCCGCTGGTGGTAGCCTGTGTTATATTTCTGTCTTAAGACAAATGACCTTCCAAACTCACAAAAGGGAAACCTGGGTTTATGTGCTAACGTGCTATCAGGGCGTTACTGCAATGGCGGCATGGGGAGGGGCACAGTTTGGTAAGGCCATACTGATTTGATGAAATGGATGACATCCTTTCGGCACCCCGAAACTGATGAGACCATGTGCCGCCCCTCAAAAAAGTTGCCTTCATGATAACACCTCAGAAATGACTGAACACGCGTAACTTGGTAGACAATAAATTTTATTTTGTATTCTTCTTTGACCTTGGAAGACTTCGCTCAAGGCTTAAGATATATTTTCGACCTACCGTACCGCACTAATACACGTAGTAAAAAAGCGATAGTGGGATAGGAAAATGCCTTCTGTGACACTAGTATCTGTTTTCCGATATGTTTTTCAATTTACGGCTCACATTTCTCCATTTCACCGCTTTTCTATAGAACTTATAGTGTAGTCGCGAACCTTTGCTGGTTTTAGAAACAGACGAAAATTGATGCGCACTCGGATGTCACACATACAATGAAGTCATGACGTCAGTACATGGCCTGAGTGGGTGTTATATCCTCCTTTCCTTTCCTTTCCAGGAATCGTCTTTTCTGCGAACCCCAAAGGATCATTGAATTCGTGCTACCTGTTTTTTTTATCGCTAGACATCAGTAGTTACTGTATGATGTCTAGTACCAAACGAACTGGGGTCATCATACGGATGTGAGGTGCATAAAGGGATGAAAGTTGTGGATCTAGAGCTCAGAAAAAATGGCTGAAAGAAGGCGGAATAATCTAAAAAGTATAGTAAGTTGCCTACAAGTTTGTGGAAGTGTGGAAAAACGACCAGCCAATAGTCAGGACGAGAGGCTATAGCCTGTAATGCCCGCATTCCCCAACAGGCGGCAATTTTGCAAGTTCTGTAAAATCATAGCATTCCCTGGCGACTAGTGGTGGCACTGCAGTGTATGATCTCATAACAAGATCCATCGTGGAGACCGTTCCAAATATTGTTACCACAAGAACACGGTAGTTATCACACATTCTTTGGCTTAAATGTCCAAACATTCAGCCCAGCTTTTTTCCATAAAAAAAGACAGTTGAATTTTGTAGGGAACATGCACGACTATCCCAGGAATACCTTCAGTTGGCGATCGTGTCTTTTATACAACCATAAAAGGACTTCGGATGAAACAAATTGCCACGAGTGTTCTGCAGTTCCGTAATGACATTAATTTTCCACGCAATATGTCAGCAGATGAAATCGATAGAGGAAGTCCCCGGGGGCCCCTGTACAGACACCGTGCCGCGATATCGAATTACCATAAGCTCGTTCTTAAGGTTATATCTATTTTTACGCTGTTCCGATAGGTCGGGATGAGCAGTTAAGAAACTTAACGTCATATTCACTATGTCTGTGCTAATGGTGAGGGGGTTCCATATATGGTCTCCACGCTGTGATAATGTTTGTCGTTTAAATTCGCAGCTGGCGATACTTTAGCTTCAGCAGATGTTAAAGAGTTCAGCCAGATTTGCTTTCTGCTCCGAGAGACCGGAGAAAAAGCAGCCGTCTGTTAAAACGAAACATATCAGGCGGCTTTGGATGGAGATCGGCCAAACACTTGGGCAACATTTCATCAATGTTTCATGAGGTCTAGTAAGTAATACGAGTGAAATACATTATCATGCATAAAGATATATGTGTATACGAGAGCTTTAGCAAAAACTGTGAACCCCTTTTTCACCCCACAACAACAGTAAAGTAACCTCACTTCGTTTACGCAAGATTAACTGACCAGATAAATCGCATGTTTTAGAGGAGACGCGTACAAAGCACAAAACACAACAAAACAACAGAAACAAACGAATGGCTAATAATGAGGACATTACCTTCCACGAGAGAGTAACGGTTTTGTTTGATCGACTAGTGTATTGATTGATTAATAGGTAATTACCCTCCATGAAAATGGGGGTACTGTTTTTACTCCATTTCATGTTTGGTCTGATATCTGAAGATCGGTGAGAAGGAACTGTACGATATTTGGCAGATTGATGGATGGGGCCTTGGAGATTGTGTAGGTTGACTTTGAGCCCCTGGTGATTGACCTTGGTACTGCAGTTTAATTTTTTTATTCTGTTGTTTGCGCGTTATGGACTGTTTGTGCGATATTAAGGTAGCATGTAGTTGTTATTACCATGGTTTAGTGGTTTAAATTTGGGCTTCCTAGCTGTTTGCGTTTGATATTTACAATATGTTTAAAGTTG